CTGTCACCCAGACTAGAGTGCAGTGGCTGCTCCCGGCCACCGCAGCCTCAACCTGCTGGACTCTGGCAATCCTTCCGCCTCAGCCTTCTAGTAGCTGGAACTCCAGGTGCACATTATCACGCCCAGCTAATTTTTTGATTTATTGTAGAGATGAGGTCTCACCAAGTTGCCCAGGCGGGTCTCGAACCTGCAGGCTCAGGCAATCCACTCACCTCAGCCTCCCAAAGTGCAGGATTACAGACTGAGCCACCAAGCCCAGCTGTAATGCTTCTTGATCTCCGTCCTGTTACCCCCAGGTTCGGGGCGAGGGGATTGGCACTCTGGGCTCGCTATCTTTGCCCCTATCAGAGCTGCTCACGGCCAACCGGCTCTGCTTGGATCACTGGTTTTCGCTCAGCAATGGTCAGGGGCAGGTGCTGCTGAGAGCACAACTGGGGGTGAGTGCCATGCTGGGGGCGGGGGTCTGCTGAGGAATGCCCAGGAGTGTGGAACTTAGTGTGCAGATTCTGAGCATAGGCCACCCGGCCATGGGCTTCTCGTCCCAGATCCTGGTGTCCCAGCACTCGGGAGTGGAAGCTCACAGCCACAGCTACAGCCACAGCTCCTCATCTCTGAGTGAAGAACCAGAGCTCTGGGGGGGTCCCCCTCACATCACCTCCTCAGCCCCAGAGCTCCGGCAGCGCCTGACACACGTTGACAAGTAAGGGCTAGGACAGAAGGATGAGACTGGTCGGGAATGTCAAGGATGGGATATGGTTCGCTGGACTCTACCCTTTCCCAGACCTGTTGCCATCTCTCCACAGTCCCCAGGAGGCTCCCGCTGGGCCTCTGGGCCAGGTGAAACTGACTGTGTGGTACTACAGTGAAGAACGCAAGCTGGTCAGCATCGTCCACAGCTGCCGGTGAGCCCCTGTCCTCCTGCCCGCCAGGCTCCCTCCAGGCACCCCCCCCCCCCCCCCGGGTTGCCTGATTACCTGTATCCTTCCATGGCAGGGCTCTTCGACAGAATGGGCGGGACGCCCCTGACCCCTATGTGTCATTGTTGCTAATGCCCGACAAGAGTCGGGGCACCAAGAGGAAGACCTCACAGAAGAAGAGGACTCTAAGTCCTGAATTCAACGAGCGGTCAGTCAGTGGGCATTTGGGGGAACACAGCAGGCTTGGGAAGGCACCCTGGCCCTAACACCCAGTCCTTCTCCAGGTTCGAGTGGGAGCTGCCCCTGGACGAGGCCTTGAGGCGGAAGCTGGATGTGTCTGTCAAGTCTAATTCCTCCTTCATGTCAAGAGAGCGCGAGCTGCTGGGGAAGGTGAGAGGCAGGATGACCAGAGGGGGGCCTTGCAAGCTGCAGACCTAGGCCTAGCCCCTGCGAGGAAAGAAGCATCCAGCCGATACTTCAGAGGTGACTCTGTCACCTCTGCATTGGTTTGGAACCAGGAGTCTTGAGGGGACATGGTCTCTGGAAATACCAAAGTAACATCTTGCCCCTATCGGCCTCCACTCCATCACAGGTGCAGCTGGACCTGGCTGAGATAGACCTTTCCCAGGGTGCAGCCCAGTGGTGAGTGTCTGGGTGGGTGGGGATGGATCTTTAAATAACAGGAATCTCAGTCACAGGAAGGGAGAAAAGGAAGCAATCTGTGTCAAGCACAATGGCTCAACACTTTGGGAGGCCAAGATTGGAGGATTGCTTGAGGCCAGGAATTTGAGACCAGCCTGAGCAACTTGGCGAAACCTCGTTATAAAAAATTAGCTGGAAGTGATGGCATATACCTGTAGTTACAGCTACTTGGGAAGTTGAACTAGGAGGATCACTTGAGCCCAGGAGGTCAAGGCTGTGGCAAGCCATGATCATGTTACTGCACTCCAGCCTGGGCGACAGAGACAGATCCAGGCTCAAAAAAAAAAAAAAAAGCAGAGCCGGGCACAGTGGCTCAAGCTTATAATCCCATCATTTTTGGAAGTGGAGGTGAGAGGTTGCCCGAGTCCAGGGATTCGAGATCAGCCTGGGCAACTTAACAAGACCTTGTCTCTATAATAAATTAAAAAAACAGCTGGGCTCGGTGGCTCAGCCTGTAATCCCTTGCCTTTGGGAGGCTGAGGTGAGTGGACTGCCTGAGCCTGTGGGTTCGAGATCCGCCTGGGCAACTTGGCAAGACCTCATCTCTACAATAAATAAAAAAACTAGCCGGGCGTGGTAGCGCACGCCTATAGTTCCAGCTACTTGGAAGGACAAGGCGGAAGGATCGCCGGAGCCCAGCAGGTCGAGGCTGCTGTGATCGGGAGCAGCCACTGCACTCCAGTCTGGGTGACAGAGTGAGACTCCAATTAAAAAAAAAAATCAAAAAAACAGGTGTGAAAGGCTAAGGCGGAAGGATCGCCTAAGCCCAGCAGGTTGAGGCTGCAGTGGCCATGAGCATACACTGCACTCCAGCCTGGGTGAGAGCGAGACTCTAACTCAAAAAAAAAAAAAAAAATGCAATCTGATGTGAGCACCACTGATGCTAGGAAGTATGGATCTGTCTCATTTCTGGGAGGACACGAGGGTTATCTTCCCACCTGAGCCCTTTCTCCGGGTTTCACAGGTACGACCTGATGGATGACAAGGACAAGGGCAGCTCCTAGGCGCCAGCCATCACCAACCTGACTGCTCGTCTTCTGGCCTTGCCTCGCCTCTTGCTGCGTCACCACCTCCATGCGATGAGCCTCACGCAGGCTGGGGGCTAAGGGCGGAGCCTGCGCCCTTCAGCCCTTTCACCTCCCAGGCCCAGATGAGGGCCTTTGCCTGACCAAAGAGAAGGACCACTGTTCCCTTCACTGCACGGCCTTGATCCCTTGGGCCCCTGGCAGGGACCTGAGTTGGCCGCTTCCTGCTCTGCCTGCATGTTGGTCTCCCTTCCTCACAACTCCTCAGGGCCTCTGTTCTTGTGCCTGGCCACTGGCAGCACTAGCAGTGGCATTAGCTTATGCCAAATACAGCTTCTGGAAGGACCTTGTTCTGTAGCCAGACGGTCACCTTCTTCCCTACCATGAGCAGGCGGGGAGGGCAACACGTGGGTGGGAAGGGAGCCGGGCTGGCTCTCGCTCTGGGCCTTGCAGTCTACTGCATGCGGTGCCCATCCAGCAGCCTGGGCCCCGCGTCCAGGTCTGCCTCCTTTCCTCAAGGCCTGTCCTGAAGATTCTGCCTGCTGTGATGGCTGGGGCATGTCTCGGCTCACGCTGGGAACTGCCCAGGCCTGCGAGTGGTGGGGTGTCAGTCTTGGAGCCCCTAGCTGGTGACGTGCAGAGGGCCACGGATGGCTCAGGACAGCAGAGCCAATGTTCTGCGTAAGTGCCTAGGCTATTAACTCACTGGCTAGGACTGGATCTGGTATTCAGTCTTGCACCAGCTCTGCCAAGCCACTGTATCTTATATTAAACATCCTCCAACCATTGTGGCTCTTCTCCTTAAAGACAGGGAATCCTACACATGGGGCGGATTCCAACTCTCAAAAGCCCTTATTCAATTCGAGAATCTTGTCAGTTCAATTAATGGTCAGAACCCACCAGATGCTAAGGGGGTAGCCCAGGGGCGTGAAGTGGCTGCTGTGGGCTTTCAGGTGAGGCTCGGTTCCAGTCACAGGAACTCTGTTCCCGTGCTTCTTGTTTGCTGAACACCATAGCTTTCTAGGGAAGGGACCCTACACCCAACAAACCTGGAAGCTCCACGTCACAGCCCAGGCTCTGTGTCTCCGTGCCATCAGGGCAGGCTGAGTGACACCCAAAAGGGCTTTGGGCTTATCTGACAGGCAGCTAACCTAGAAGTATTTTATACCCATTTGACTCTGCTTACTGTGAGTGCTGCTCCTTGTCAGAGCCATCGTGGAATGCAAGCTCTGGGAGCTGTGCCAAGTGAAAGAGTGAGGTGAATGAAAAGTTTACTGAGGCTGGACATAGTGGCTCGTTGGCACCTTGGGAGGCTGAGGAGGGAGGATTGTTTGAGGCTAGGGGTTCGAGACCTGCCTGGGCAATATAACAAGAGCCCATCTCTATAAAAAAATAATATCTGGGCATGGTGGCATGTGC